TTACTGTCTGATTTGCCTAAGAAGCAAGGGGTGACCTAGGAGAAGAGAGATCATCTGTCAAGCTTTTGGCAACTTCCTTTGAAAATAATTGCCGGAATAATTCAGCTGCTCTTGATATGTATTTTGCTTCGATTTTACCTCCGTCAGTCACCCACAGGTGCGAGTCAAACCACCAGTCCAAGTTTTTAAACATTGTTAAACATTCATCAAAAACTTTCTATGGTTTCAGAATCATTGCCCAAAACGTTTTTCACAATTGTTAATTTCACCATTAACAAAAATGATGCCTGAAAAGCTATACAAACACCACCGCTACAAATTTTACGTTTCAAATTATATTCTAGACCAATATCAAATGTCATCCAAAATTCACAGATCTGGTTCAATTATAAATTCCCAACCAAATTTAATCCACATAGTCAGCCCAAGAGCATAACAATTAGCAATGGGATGGGTTTTTTTATTTTTCTGCTATAATAAGCCTTAAGAGGGAATCATTTCGCTTGCAAATGACAGAGTGGGAAAAAATGATAATTACCAAGAGACCAAATCCAAGCCTCAGGTCACAATATTTGATATGACCCAATCACAAGCATTAGAACCACACCATTGGGGGTTGTAGTGATATCTTCAGTAAACTCCCAAACAAAATTTACATGAAATGAGACAGAGGTTTTTCAGAATGTTGAATCTCATTCTAAATCTTATTACAACAACAACAATAACATTGCACAGCATCCAACATGCAGTAATCAAAAACCAAATAATGTAAAGAAAAAAGATGGATAAAAGGAAATTTTAAAACACTTAGCCACGAATACCCTAGAGCTAGACAATGTAAAGAACCGTGACAAACAAAACAGTACGTTGAAAATCTCGACCACGAATTACTTTTTGACCTAAAACTTTTAAAAAAGAATATCAACTAAAAGATTAAACAAATTGTGGATAATTTCAAATCAAACAAAGAAAATTAGAAGGAAAATTGACCAGTTAATGGGGATCTACGGATTTCACCCCTGCCCCAAAAGTTGAGTCAATAATACAAAAAACCGAGAAGAAAACAATGATACATTAAAAATCTAGTAATGAATACTCTTTGGCGTAAAAATTTTTAAAAGAAACAGCGATCCATAAAGTCAGTAAAATTATGAGTAATTTAAAATGAAATAAAGAAAGTCGCTTGGAAAATCGACAAATCTCTGGAGGTCGACGAATTTCACCCCTAGCCCCGAAGTATCGTCATTGAGTTAAAACAAAACTATTGCTAAATAAAATAATGAACAGAGATCGATAAATGGAAATCTTAAAACACTTAAGCTACGAATATCCTAGTGCAAGACAATGCAAAGAACCACGACAAAAAAAAGGGCAAGTTACAAATCTCGACCACGAATATCGTTGCGGTTTAAAATATTTAAAAAGTATTAAGCTAAAAGATTAAAAAATAATGGATAAGTTCAAATCAAACATAGAAAATCAGTAGGAAAATTGACCAGTTAATGGGGATCTACGGATTTCACCCCTGCGCCCCAAGTCGAGTCAGTAATACAAAGAACTGAAAAGGAAATAATGATACATTAAAAACCGAGTCATGAATACACTTTGGCTTAAAATTTTGAAAAGGAATACCGATCCATAAAGTCAGAAAAATTATGAAGAATTAAAAATGAAATTAAGAAAGTCTCAAGGAAAATCTACAAATCTTTGATAGTCGACGAATTTCACCCCTGGCCCCAAAGTATTGTCAGTGAGTTAAAACACAAAATTGCAGCCTAATGAAAAGAACAGAGATCGATAAATGGAAATCTTAAAACACTTAAGCAATGAATATCATAAATGCCTCTTACTTTAAAAATTCCGTTTATATATATATATATATGAGTAATGATCCTATGAGACCCTCCCACACCTAAGTGTGTTGGACCCTAAAGGATCACCATTAAATTTGGCACAGAACTCAAAAAATGTTATCACATAGTGTGGGACTGGACGTTTTTAGAGATCTGTGCCAAATTTAATGGTGATCCTTTGGGGTCCTAATCACATGGGTGTGGAAGGGTCTCATAGAATCATTA